GTTTTTTTTTAATATCTGAAATGTTCATTTTGACTAGGAAGAAATGCGTTTGAGACATTTGGATTACATATTCAGTCAAGCTAATAAATGTCAAATCGGACTGCCATAAGCTGCTGGCTGGGAATTCCCAAAGAGAAAACACTGGTCAGATCAGCATACCCCGTCAGACCAGCATACCCATAGTAAATACACATCTGCAAGACGTCAGATTTGCATATGCGTATGCTAGTGACTTTTATCCCTTTGGTTTATCCCAGTTTATCCCTTTAGTTTTGTACAAAAAATACAATTTAAACTACCTCAGTATGGCTTTAGTCATGTGCAAAAAAATTATTTAAGGTCAGATCACTATACGCTTTATAAAACACCAGAAAGTAAGTGATAAAAATGTTTTTTAGCTACTTTTACCAGCTTATCACAGCAAACATTAGACACACTTTAGTGGACAAGCTTCAGGAACATCAAAAATGCTTTTGACACGCGTCTGACCTTAATGTAGGCTCTTTTTGCTGCCCAAAGCTTGTCTGGTGTGAACGTGGCATAAGCATGGAGCTGGACGGAGAGGGAATAGGCAAAGCCATTAACTTCATAGTAAGCTGTGATTTTGTAAAACAACACTTTAGTGCTCCATGACAACAAGCATTCTCATGGAAACTTTCTGTTAGGGCGCTTTAAGGAGAGCCAACGATTTTCATATGCGTTAGTTTTGAGAAAATATATTAGCATTTTTGCTCTGTGTAAGTTTTAGCTCTTTGTGAAATAATCATAAATTTAAAAGGAACATTAGCTTATTCTATTGTGTCCAACTACACTTCATGCTGACATGCAGGCTGTAATGTGGCTCATAAATTCATACGTTAATTAGAACGGTAAACTAATAAAAAAACAACAAACATGTATTTAGTTGTAATCCTGTTTGGATGTTTTAAAAAAAGGAAAATTTTCTACTTAAATCTAATTTAGTCCCTTGTGTTCAGTGGAGGAGGGAACTTATTAGTGTGTTGTGAATGTGAAATTTATAGTCCTGACTTGAGGCAATTTAAATCAGCACCACAAAAATTGACTGTATATATAGGTTTATTTTGACACTGCTCAATTAAAAATAACTATTTAAATTGTATATTTTTTTATGTTTCTTTGTCTTGAATAATATTACGTTTGGTTGTTATGAAACTTTGAGTTGGAATATAGTTGGACAGTGCATATCCTGTTTATGTCCATGTTCATTTTCTTTATATTCTAGCCGATGTGTGTGTCAAGAACAGCTCTTTGAATTGTTTTGTCACTGAAATGTGCTATATAAACAAACTTACCTTCCCTAATCAGGCAGGATTTACTTACTCTATCACGTCGGCTAGTATTTGCAATCATTAATGTCCTCTGGAGACATTGAGAAAGAAATTGGATCCGCAAGTTGGATTCAGGATGCCATGAAAAGAGTAAACAGCTAATCGGTCATGTGAGGTTAATATTCGCTACGTCAGAAGCCATTGGTAAAATGTTTCCATCTCCAGTTTAGCTTATTTATGCTTTTTTTTTCATCAAAAACCAGCTTGAGTTTTGTGAAAACATTTTCTGAAAGATGAATAATTTTATTCAGATTGCCTCCTTTCGTTAAGCTCTTCCAATGTGATTGTTCAAAAAGTCTACAGTGTAAGCAATATGTGGGTGAGGGGAATTCATCCATCTTCTCCTGCTTATTCCGTCAGGATTGTGGAACAGTCTATGGGAGTAAGACTGGACACCCCCGGACAGGTCGCCTGTCTGTCCCAGGGATAGCAGCAGTATATCTCTCAAAAGTAACTTCAAACAATAGCATTGGAATGGAAGACGTTATTACGATTTAACTCTGTTAAATCTTGGTACCAGAAAACAACTCATATTTTTTCCCAAATGTTGAAAATGTCACTGTACAAACACTCTTGCAGTCTTTCACTGACCTGCTCCACATCTCAGAAGATACAAAAGTATTACTCTGAATGGGGAAACATGGTAAAATGGGGGCTGTGCTAATCATTTTCAGCTGCAAAATACAATTATCACACTGGCTGACAGGGTACTCGATGAAGCAGGGGGTGTTAAGCAGTCGTTGCTTATGTTTGACTAAGAAAAAGCACAGCTCCTTCATTAAGTGCAAAGGAAAGGAAGCGAGGACAAAGCAAACAAAGCAAGAGGAGAAGGGTGAGTAAGTTGGGGGATTTCTTCTTCCTTTCCATCCTGCCCAGTTAGAGGAGACTCAGTTAGCATCTCAAGGTAAGCCTCCCCGTCACTTGGGCCTCATATTGCTAAGGCCGCTCGGTTCCCACAGTGTGTCAGGGCCTGCATGTGGCCCTACCCTACTCCGGCAGCGCCGCGTCTTTAGACCCCCAGGGCCCCGGAGCAGAGGTTACACCAACACAGCCAGCCACAGCAGCATGTCAGCCCCACACCAACCGTTGCCTTGGTGCCACCGCAAGAGATCCTGACTCCTTTCGAGGGGAAAGTGATTTGCCATGACGTGTACAGCTCCTTTTTTTTCTTTGCTCACTTGTAGCTCTTCTCTCTGTGCATTTAATCTCCCCTGCTCTCATTTTTCCCCTTCTTTGTCATTCTCAAATCTTCTTCAAATCTTGCCTCACTCTCTTTCTGCTCTCCAACTTCATTCTTTTTCTTTGAGTAATGGCTGATGCCAAAAACAGTGTCATGATTAGTCTGAGTATGATCAAAGACAACATCTGCACTGAATAAATAGTCATCTGACAAATTACTGTTTTTTTTAGTTATTGTTCGTCTTCCTTTCTGGGTTTTTTTTTCTTTAAACCACTTCCATTTTTACAAACTTTTCAGTGCCCCAGAGTTGTCATCAGCATCAAAATACAATATTTTTTGTCAGCCTTAAACATACTCACAAATCACTTCAGAGACATAGAAAAAGAGCTGCCTTTGCACTGGTAAACACGAACTGGAGGAGCAGTCGATCAAGTGGGTTGTCCAAAGCATTTCTTGGTGACCAACAAACAGGTGCATACCATTATAGCCCCACTCGCTCCCAAGCAGCATTCCAAGCAACAAGGAAGTGTGTAATCGATGTTGTGGAGAATAAAGTGAGAAAAAAGTAGTTCTAATTGCAAAATGTAAATATTGAGTTTTCCCACAAGTGGGGGCAGACCACCCAGGATGCAAAATAGTCACCCACCCCCTTTCTCTCTCTTTTTTTTCTTTTTTGCCTTGTCGACCGCCCGAGAGATGTCTTTTTGTGAGTGCAAAACATCGCTGACCACAATCAACCACTCACACACAACCATGATGTGTCTTTGCATGCAAATACTCTGGAAGCCTTGCTCGGCTTTGTATTGTGGGAAAATTAAGTGATGAAAACCTGTGAGGGGGTGGAGGGAGAAAGGAGTGAAAAATCAGAGTGCTGATGGTTTGAAACTCAGTCTTTTCTTGTTCCTGTAAGGTGGTCTGGTCTGTCTGGTCTGAATGAATTCTCAAAAGATGAGAGAGCAGGACAGCACTGTAGCTGCAGTGTCTGACAGACAGAGACTCCACCGTGTGTGTGCATGTGTGTGTGTGTGTGTGTGTGTGTGTGTGTGTATCTTGCAGGCTGGTGTCAAATACTTGTCTAGACCGTGACAAATACCTCCTGGTATTCTCGCTATGATTACCTCCAGGATTACCAATGAAACAGAACTGTTCACACAACTGATGTTGTCTAAAGATCAAAGGCAAGCCATTTCGTTTCCAACATCAGCAGCTTTACAGAAAATCTTTATTTCATTCTCATTGGGATGTTTTTCTGCTTTCTTGTTCTGGCAAGTGTAAATATAAGCAACTTTGCAGACTGGCAACAACTATAAAAGGCAAACAAATGATTGCAAAATAAGGCACAGAATAAACAGGAAAAATCTGCTTCAGTAAACTGAAATGTTAAAAATCTAAATATCTGTAATCTATCAATCAAGGTTTGACTGATTCTGATTTGTGGTACCTTCAAACGATGGGGAGCAGGACAATAGCCACACTTATGTTTAACATGTAATTGAATCTTTTATCTAAATCTTTAATTTTTCACTATATTATTCCAAAGTTGAAACTTATTTAGAGCTTTTCTCACTTTATATTTTTAAACTTCTGAATGCACTTTCTATATTAAAAGTTTTACATGATTTTTTGGTTATTCATAAAAGTGCATAAAACGATACTAATAAAAATAAACCAACTTTACAGCTGATGGCTGTCAGTCTGCTTGTTTCTTTCTATACAGGAACACTTTGTTACTTATAATTGCATGAAATTAATCTTTATATAAGTTATTCATATTTATATAATGACTGGGTCCTGTGCTGATATTTTTATCTTATTTTGATAATATAAAATTAAAATAGCAATGTATATAAGGTTTTGTTTTTCCATTCTGGGGCACAATATTTAAGCAATATCTAAAGATGCCCTGATTAGGCTTTTCCTGTCTAGAGGGGATTTCCAGTTTATTATTATTTTATTTTTTTAGGATTTATCTGCTGATATTGATTAGAATTGATAGAAGATAAAAACGAAACATCAAAAGATATCTGATTTGATTTCAGTTCAAGTCAATAAAGGGAAATGCTTTGGTTTATGTGTTTAAAAATCTTAATTTGTTTTGTAATCAATGCATTTAATGAATATAAAAAAATAAAACACTGATTCCATGAATGACAAAGTGGTTGAATTAATTGGTGCATCTATAATAAATCCAGCCTCCCCCCTTATCCACCTTTCCATATACAATGACAGAAGAACTTCTCTTGTTCTTTTTTATTTATTTTTTTAAACGTGCCAACCCACCCCCCCTTAGATTATTAGGCCCCCCTCCCCAGAAAAGAAAAAAATCTGGCCACCCGTTTTGCAAACTTTCTGGAGGCGCCCCTGATTGGGATTCCTCACTGTTTGGACAGCTTTGCTTTCAAACTGATTAATTCAAGCCCAGAACAAGCCACAATTAGTAAAAGCAAAGACATTTGGAGGAGACAACTTACCTTGAGTGGTTTTACTTCCTGAAGCTGAGTGTTGGACAAAGGCGACCAAAAGGAAACCTACAAATCCAAGGCTTGCGCGTATCAAAGCATGCAGATACATGTTAACTTTTCCTCTAGTTCAACACAAGGCGAGCACTTTGTGGGGTCTGCGATGCGTAAGAGCACTAAATCTAAGGGTGTGTGTGGCAGAAATATAGTCTCTTGCTCCTCCGCCTGAGCCCCCGCTGACAGGATACGGTGCGATTATTTTCTCCCCCCTCTCTCCCTCTCTCTCTCTCCTCTTTACGCGTCTTATTTCAGCTGAAGGTGATCGGAGTGGAGGATAACCCTGCAACGCGGAGCGCAATAAGCCTGTTCTCTTATCATGGTTCGAGCCCAGAGACGGTGTCAATTTAAGAAAGAGAGAGAGAGAGGGGAAAGGAGCGAGAGATGGAGTCCTCGACGGGGTCTAAAGGGGGAGGAGAAAGGAAAGAGCGTCCGATCGGCGCTCCTGACTCCTCCGACGCTCCAGCTCCTACATCACTGCTTTATTTTCCTGCAAAACATTTACAGGTGCTGGATGGACTCTAGGTAAGCAGGGGGTAACCATGTGCGCAAAGGTGCGCGTCGGGCTCGTGCACCTGCACAAAAACTGGTGCATGCTGCAGTTTGATAAATAAAAAAAAAAGAAGAGGCAATTGTTGTAAGGAGGAGGGGGGACAGGGTTAATGGGTTTATAAACACACACATGAAAAAAATAAATAGCCATGAGATTGCCTTCTGCAGAAACCCAATAAAAATGAAAATACTTAGAACCTGAGATGAAATTCTTCCCAAATGTCCAAAACAACCTGTCTGCATGTAGAGAGGAGTCAATCCATACATGTCAACTTGTTTAATAAAATGGAATGAGGAAAGAAACAAATTGATTAAATGAAAAAAGGGAGGTAGAAAAAGGCATGAAAGGATGCCAGTAATCTACAAGTGATTAGATAACAAACCTCCCACATGTTATATTTCTAAAAAAAAAAAAGAAAAAAAAGGTAGGTAAAAAAGTGTCTAATGATCAAGGTCTCACACAAGAAACATCTAATAATGGGAAAAACAGTTATCTCTCCCAAGAACTCTGTAACTTTTTGTTGTGAAACCTACTCATAGTTACAGCAAAATCTCTAAACCACTCGCAGCCCATTATCCAGAAGTGGAAGGAGTTATTTCACCATAAACTGGCAATGATGTGGTCCTCCGCCTCAAAAGAACCTGGAGGGAAGTGAAAAAAAATATCAGAAGCTCCCAAGTCTCCACTAGAGCCAAGGGCCTCTGGTGAAGAGCTTCAAGAATTAGCAGGTACAATCGTTTCAAAGAAAACAGTAATTAAAACAGCCAGCTGTCACGACCTTTTCCGTTTGATGCCATCCTTCAAAAAAAGGCAGTTAAAAACACACAAGTGGGGTATCATGCAGTTTTCATCATTAATCACTGACAGACTTTATCTAATTCTAAATATTAGTAAAATTACTCATGCAATGTGTGACAATAATGAAGAAGAAACTAGGGTTGACATTTTAGATAAATCAATGACCCCAGCCTTATAAACAAGCAAAGTATTATTTATTTTCAGAGAAAAAAAGGGTACAGTAATTCACCTGAATCGTATTGAAAATATACTGAAAGCGCTACAGCTTAAGGTTCATAAAAGGCGGTTCTGTGGAGGCGTCAGAATTTAAGGACTGTTTGAGGGAATGGGCTAAAATCATATTAGTGAGACACACCATTTCTGCTAAAGAGAAGCTGTTTTTAAGCCTTATTAAGTTCTTTTTTTTAAAGTGTCCAATATATTTGGGTCAATCCATTTAACACATAATCACTCCATCTATATCTATTGTTTGAATGGGATTTAATGGGCTGTTATCAACACCCGAGAGGATTTTCAGTCATTTGCTGCTAAGTAATATATAAACCGTTAATGTTTTTAAATAGCTATTTGCCTACTTTCAATCTGTTTTTTTAAAGCAAAGTGCTTTATTTATCTGCAGTTAATGTGCTTAAGGGGCAACAGCAGTTGTTTAAAATGCAGGCAAGAATGAAATGCTTCCTCAGCTAATAAGTCATAATCAGTAATTATTTGCAGGAGCCTTGGTGAAGGCTTTATGCGAATCATCTGGTCACCAAACAACCTGAATGCTGAAACTGTTTGTCTTCATCTTGCTCCAAAACCATAACCAGCACCATAAAACTGTGTAGCGTCCTTCTGAGCAGAATATTTAGCTTGGCAATATTTTTTTTACATTTATTAGATGAGCTCTGGTGTTACTTATATAAGGAATCTCATACATATTTCAAAGAAACAACACGCAAAGTCCTTGTTTTAAAATAGGACAGCTGAAGGACATTAAAGTTTTTGAAGTATAAATTACAGAGCTGAAGATGCTTCACATCCATCAATCCTGCAAATCCCTGATTATGAGTTACACCGTGCACACGATTAGCCCCAAAATCAGAGAATGATGCTTGACAAATTTCATTCTCATCATTTTTCTTTCATACACTTTCAGACCATCTGCATCCCGCACCTGCCGCCTCTTTCACACCTGAGTTATTCAGCTGTGTTAATGCATTTATGTTTGCATTTTATGGTGCATGCAGACTTCTGCACTATAATTATCCTCCCTACTCTCATGTGTAATTTCTTTTACTCAATCAAATATAATTAGGGCTTCACAATGACGCTGATTGGAGATAAGAGCTCTGCCTTGCTGAGAATTAAAGACACACACACACAAGCTTAAATGTCTCAAGGCAGAAATGCGGGAGGGGAGATTATTTTTCATTATCTTTCATTCAATCTGAGTGTTTTCATCACCTTTACTTTAAAGATGACTTGTGATAACGTAATTAACTTAAATTAAAAGCCTTGATACGTGATGCTATTTAATATGGTTTTAGACGCTATGCAGTGTTTTGCCAAAAATAGAAAGAAACTTGCTACAGATAAACCTTAGGAAGAGTCTTTAAAGAAGAAAGAAACCATATAAATCAGCTGCAAAAAAATGTGAGCATCGATGTAATTAAAATAACATCCAAAAGGGATATGGAAATATCCCTTGTCCAAATCTCTTGGTGATTATGAACACTTGTGTAACCAAATGAGCTCACAGCCACTCTGGGAGTTTGAGAAAGTCAACACATACCGTTTCAGTGGAGCCCCTGCAGAAGCTGCTGTGGAGGATCAGAACACTTTTCCCAGCAACACATCATAAAAGACAGAGGACTGTACACGGGCCACACAATATTCACTGAGATGAGCTTTGTTCTACACCAACAAACACACAAGGGAAATCTGGGTGATGTTTAGGTATTAGGTAAAGAGCAAAGGGAGAATATAGGAGGTTTCAAGAGAGCAGCAAAGGTATTTCATGGTTAGGAAATAAATTAGACTAAAATTTACCAGGACAGAGATTTATGCTATACCTACCTGAGACCTGACATAAAAAGGCTGTATGAGAAACTGGAGCATGGTACTATTTAAAGAGCTTTGCATAATCGTTTCTGTTTCCAGTTAACTTTTTCACATTGTGATACATTATAATCTTAAACTACAATGTAGTTTTGGTAACTTTATCGAGAGGGTGAGGCAAAGTAGTCATTTATACTTCAGTAAAGTTTTTTCCCCTCTACTCTGATACCCCCAAAAAAGATACAGCCGACTTGGCTGCATTCAAATTAACAAACAGAGTCTATCTGTGTATAGATTTTTCAATACTTTCTGACTAAAATAATAGGTGGGACACTCTTTTGGCAGGATAGCTATAAGCCATATACATCTGATAAACATCGCTTTCATGGAGGAGGAGCAACATGAAGCCACTTTTAGGAAAGTTCTTTGCAGTTTGCCACAAGTCAAGTTCTTTGAGCAACAGGTGGAGTTAAATACGAACAATCCCTGGAGAAAAATCTTCTCTAGGCAACAAGAGACAAGAAACCAAGTTGGAGGTTTACTTCCAAGCAGGATGCCACTAAACATACATATCAAACAAAAGAGAACTAAATGGTTAAGCTCATTATATATCTCAAGTTATTACAATAAAATCCAGGGATTCAAACTATTTATTTGTGGGGCCGAATATTTTTTTTAAATGACAAATTCTAAAGGAAATTTTGGTCTTAACAGAGTTGTAGTTGGGATGTTTGTTTGTACAAGAGACACACACCAGTATTTCTTCCAAATCAAAGGAAAACTTTACCCACCCCCCTTAAGAGAACAGATATTTACTTACTGTAAGTAAAAGATTTCGAATTGAATTTTGACATCAGATCAATCTATGCTAGTAGGCAACATTTACTACAGTATATGCTAATAATGTTATGTTCTCCAAGTGTGATCTGATCATGTGAAAGGTTTATGCATTAAACTGCTCGGCACCAAAGCACAGAGCTTTAGCCTTCTTTCCCCTCTTTATATGCGAGGTTACCAACACCACCGCAGGCTCAGCGGGATGCCTTGGTACTCACTAGGCCAGCTCCGCAGGGGAACAGAGTGGCTTGCTGAGTTCAACACTTTAGTGCAATCATCACACAAGCGCTGTGGGCTTGCCCCTGGAATGCCACGCCACCACAGCCTCGGTCACTGGCACCAACAGGGAGCAAAGAGTTCAAGAGGAAATCCAGTTATCAAGAGCAAAGGAGCAGAGGTTTAAGTCAACTGCCAGCCTCTAAGCATGAGAATCTCAAAGCATGATAACACTGAGTAATAACACAGCAGCTTCACAGTATTTCCATTAAAATGTCAAATAAAAATGTATGACATAATTCAATTGATTTTTCCTTTAAAAAACAGCAGCTGTTATTCTAAAGCCGATCAATTTCTGCTAAATAATGTACAACATTGGTATTTCAGTTATGCTGATATTTATTTCTTCTAGTCTTTATTATGTTGGATTTCTTTCTTATAGATTATTTTGCACAAAATACTAATAAAAATGCTAAAGAGCAAAAAAATAAACAATAAACAAAAAATAAACAAAAAATAAACGTTAAATTTCAAAATTTTACATGACATTTTAAAGAGCATTGTATTATTCAGAATGATATGTTTCCAGACAGCTTTAAGTTGTTGTATCTGCTGGTTTTGTGATTATAAATATATTTAAAGATTCATTTTGTCTTATTGTTAATCAGTATAAAAAATTGTGGTGCTGCTATACTGACTACAAAGCACAGAAGAAAAAAATCGGATCACCTAACGCTTTGTCTGGCTTCTCTCAAAAACAACTTTATACTTCAGGGACAGTATGGGAGGACATGTTTCTATTTCAAAACGTTCTTTAGTGAAACCTTTGTATACTTGTATAGTAGTCTCTTTCCAAAGCCTGTCAGATGCCTATTACTACTTTGGGCCCCAGCCAGTAGGAGGCCTCTAAGGGTAACTTGAATTATCAAGCAATTACTTAGCTCCCAAAGATAGATTGAAATAAGTGAAAGCTTTATTATTAGCAAACATACAAAGAG